TTTAAGGCTTAATATAATTTAAACGGATGAGTTATAAAAAAATTCACCCCCCTCACAGTTGTCATGAAGGGCAAAATTAGCTATATAGACCAAAATAATTTTTTTGTACCAGACTGTAAGCAAACTTTTTTCTGCTGTAAAGTTGGGCATTTTAACATGGGGAGTCTATGGGACTGACTCCCTTTTGCAGCCAGCCTCTAGCGGCCAGTCGATGAATTGCAGATTTAGCCACTTCCTTGTTGGCTTCACGAGAGAGACCAGAAGGTTGCCGCTTGGTGCATACTAAACTGAAGGACACAAAACCAGTGCATATTGAACTACAAAGATCACTAAGAAACCAGTGCATACTAAACTACACTGATAGCTGAGCGATGTGAAACCAGGGGGGTATTTCATAAAGTAGGTTTTAGAAACTTACTCTGGCAAGTTCACGGATAAGATAACCGCAACTTTCAGTTCCAAAAACTGAGCTAACGTTCAGGTTATGCAAGTAGCCACATATTACACACAATGTTATATAATAGTCAGATCATTTATAATTTTAAAGCTTCTATAACGCAATGTTTATTTCACTTTAGCTACTTATTTAACCACAAAGAGAAGTGTGGAAGAATGTTGTACACTTCATGCCCTCAAACAGTCACAGCTTTCTTTGCAGCTTTCGTAAAGACTACAAAATAACATGATGAAATCCATACTCTAGACGTTAAAGCACATAGTGTGTAGCACATCATTTATGTGAGTTAACTGTGGGTTACCAATAATAGGTTGTCTGAACTGACTCCTCAGAGGTGTTCTGGAATCAGCACAGTCCAAGGGTTGTGCATCATATATTATATATTTACAAATATAAAGCAGTAGTTATTGTGTATATGTATGATTGTCTAGTGTTTCTTACTATATTTATTAGTAAATAAAACATAACAGGATGATTAGAAGTTGAGAAAGGAAAGGAAATGTGACCTTTACCAAGAGTTCACATGTTCCCAATTTACTTATCTAATTTGATGTAATCTAGATTGTGTTTTTCCATTTTACGCACTGGTCTCACATGTTGACCTTGGGTATAAATGTCTTGAAATAGGACTATTAATCTGATATTTTCAATGTAATCTCACACTTTGAGACCCCTTCATGGATGAACACACAGAGATGGACAGATAGATAAATAATAATAATAGCTGCTGCACAAAGTAACAACCAACAACATATAATTGTAATGCTGGCATATTTATTGCACAATATTCCCATAAAAACTGGGAAACAAAGATAAGGTCAAAAAGAGAGGCATTATGTACAAATACACGAAGAAACTCTATGCAGTATATACAGCTAACATTTAGCAATGCATGCCAAGTAAATAAATTAAATGCTAAGATATAAATACACATTCTGGAGAATACAAATGGACATAGATTTTTTTTTAAAATACAAAATGTTTCCCACTGAAGCAACTCGTACATGTTTTAAACAGCTAAAATAACCTGTAACACCTCGCAAAGCCTGTTTTTCTGGAACCCCCCGCAAAGCCTTTTTTTTTTTTTTTTTTTTTTTTTTGTCCTTTAAGACTTAGATGTATGGTTTGACCCAAAGACAAAGCAAGTCAACCAATCATAAACATCTATGCAAGTCATTAACTGATTGAATGCTTGCATTAAATCACTGCATGTTCATTTTTCATCCATTTCTCTGTTATTCCATCGGTAAACAATCTGTCTGCAAGCTAAGAAGAGACATGAAAAAGATTCAGCATTTCAATCCTGAAAACAAAAGATGATTGTTGAATGTCCCTGGATCAGTGTTAAAAAAGGGTCCAGCACAAATCCCAACGTAGTGATTGGTGACCATCGCATTTCTCTTGACCAAATTATTCCTTAAAACGCATCACACAGCATGTCCTGTCTAAAGGACTATTCAAATAGAAATAAATCTCTTAATAATTTCCACGGGACAGGTAAACACTTCTGTTACGGCTAAAGTGACGCTTCCCAAAAAAATAATTAAAAATGTAATTCTCAGATCTCATTCTTAGGAAATCGTGCCATGGTTTCATCTTTATTGGGTGACTGAAAACCAAAAATGAAAACTTTACCTCAAATGTTTAATTTAGCATGTTAGATGTGTGTGTGATACTGAAGGTTTGAGGTAGAGCTCATTTTCAACTGGACACGACAGGGTAAGCTTGCTTGTAAACACACAGAAAGGAATATTGCGTGATCACTCACTGCCACAATCGATTGAGAACAGTCCATGATATATTCATTTAAAATCATAAAACTGATTTTATAACCAAGTCTTTGCTTCCTACACTGATTTGAAGAAGGTGCCATGAACAGCTTCAGTATTTGTTCTTGATGTATGCAAGGGCTGCTTGGATATCTTCTTTGGCTTCTACATTCTTACACTGTGTAAAGGAACAAGAAATAAAACAAAATGCGGTTTATGGAATTAAAAAATATACTCCATGTGTCAATTGTGGATAAGGGATATTCCCAGGTCACTTCTCGGGAACCTCTGGGTTTCGATCATTGCAGCTCGGCCGCCATCTAGTGGCTGATCGTCTGTCCTGCAGTCTGCTCACCCGGAGACTGTTCCCAATGAACACCAACTCAACGGCCTCCCTGCTCCAGGAGTCTCAGAGGGCTTCGAGGGGCCCCGTCCAGGCGTACCGAACCTGGAGGACCCAACCCATCTGCCGGCGGGGGAATGGAGTCTCTCTCGCTCTCCATGTGGCCTACAGGAGAATCTGGGCCACGTACGGCGAGTGTGTGCTCGCTGTGGCCGCTAGCAGGGGCAGGTCGTTAGACTCGATCCTGTGGAGATAAAGGAGATCAGATTGTTGGCATTTGCTGGATAAAAAAATAAAAATAACAACTAGTACAATGACGCTTGAACTCTTACCCTAGAACCATGCCCAACTCCTTCACATGCACCCTGGTCTGTCCTTTCAAGTACTCGGCCAGCATTTTGCTCTTGAAGTAGAGTTCCTGCAGCCGGTCCTCCAGATGCATTATACACTGAAAACAAGAGCGAGAGAACAGCTCGTGTCACACACACACACACACACAGTACAGCCTTCATGCCAACATACAGCGCTGACTCCAATCCTGCTCCTGCAGAGTTTAGCTACAACCTGCCCGTCTCAAAATAAAAGTCCAAAGCCCTGCATGTTTTGATGTCCATGTGTTTAAAATTAGTTGCTGCAGCATGTGTATCAAAGATCATGGACGAAGTTATGCATTTTAACAGTATTGTTCAGCAAAACCAAAGGATTACTTACTTTTGATACTTTATTGATCCAATTATCAGTTACGGATAATATCTAATTTAGGGATGCGCGATATTAGATTTTAGTCTATATCCAATATGCCGTTATTTTTCAACTCATATTAGCTGATAGCCAATGCCGATATTTTTCCTTTTGTTCGGAAACAACACTAAGTCTCTCCTGTGTAGCGATTATAAACAAATTATTTGTACTCTTGGTTAGTTTTTAGCAAAAACTTACTTGTTAGAACTAAATAAACAATTAAAAAAAACTCTCTTTATAATAAGAGTACATTGAAAGCTTTGAAAATATCTATTAAAAAAAATCAATCATAGCAATTTTTTTTTTCGGGAGTGGTAACCAAAAACCTTTGTATTCTAGTTTTATTACTTTTCAATTTCATGTAATTATTTTTAAACAAAAAATAATTCGAGATTTAAACATTCAGTGTTCTTTTTTGCAAGCGTACTTTGCAAAAATGTCACTGCTGATATTCTTTACAACTTAAAAGAACTTAAAAGTATGCAAAGCTTAATTATACAGTAACTTTAACAAAATAAGCACAAGTCAACCTGCCATACCAATCAAGACCACAGGGAGACACCAAAGAACTGCATATAAACTACTACACGGATCCATTCAGAATCACTAAACACACCAAAATACAAATGAAAACTAAAAAGATTGTGAATGTGTGGAAACTCGGCGATCTGAAGGCGGCTCGATGTCATCCGTGAACAGTTCCTCTGTCAGAAGATGCAATCATGTTTGTGTTTGGAGCGTTTGATGCCCATATGTACATAAACACCACTGATCCTCACAAACTTCTCCAAAACACGCTTCTTCGGCGAGCATCTGTTATAAAACACTCGCTGTACATGAATTTTGACAATTACATGATTATACAGAACTGTGTTCATGTAGAAATATGATGTGATGAGAGCGCACATGCATGACTGTTTGCGCATCAATAATATCGGCCACACCCATGCCTAATGTACGACTCCTGTATGTCACTGTAATCATCTTTACCTAGATTACAATCCTCATCCATCTAAACTTGATTTTAAGACATCAATTACAGCTTTATTTATTCAGAAACACAACTATCTTAATGTTATTTGTGTATTTTATTTTCATTTTATTACATGTAGGTCTACAGCGCCCCCTAAATAAATAAAAGGCCTCACCGGACGGGCGTTAGGACGCGGGGGAGGCTGTTGACTCTATTGTGCTCATTCTGTACGATCATTCTCAGATGAAATGCGACGATCCAAAACAGTTAATCTAATCAGCATTCAGGCAAAAGTTCGCTTAAAGAATGAGCACACTGCTGACGTGATCTTATCGCTAGCACACCCTAATTATTCGCCTTATCGGCAAAGCATATTGGTATAATTTTCCATATCAAGATGATGCTGATGTTTACATTTTAAGCCTTTATCGGCCGATTCCGATAACATTCCGATAATATCGTGCATCCCTAATCTAATTACTTAAATAATCGTCAAAATAATCGATTACTTACAAAAATAATAAATAGCGAGAGCACTACAGACTGACGAGGAGCCGTTCTCTTATGTTCATCACAGTTAAGATCATTAGAATCATGAATCACATGCACATAATTGGCTCATGATTATCAGTTTCACTGTCCTTGTAAAATGTGTCAATGCTAGTGGTCGACCGATATATCGGCCGATATTTGGCATTTTTCAAATATCGGCATCGGGCGATACGTTTTTCCTGTTTGGCCGATGTGTTCGAGGCGGGACTTTTATTTTGACGGCGCTGAGAGCAGCAGCGCCTGCGCACACTGTGTTCACATTCTCCCTCTTGTTTGCTGTCGTCATTAACAGCTCTTTCTAATACAGATAGAAGTCTGTCTAATAATCAGATAGAACGGTTAAACAAAGGACCTTACCTTGGCTTTATTGAAAAAAATATCACTCCCAATGCACACAAACTTCCCAGATTACTGAGTGCCCTGTTGGTTACAGTGTTTACTCCCTTTTTAATTAGATTTTTTATTAAATATTTATTAATTTGTGAAAATGCTTTGTCTTCTAAAGTATAAGTATGTTTATTTTACACAATTATTTTTAATCCATTTTCAAATTTATTAAATATAAATTAAAATAAATAAAATTATATCGGCTTTATATCGGCCACCCTGCTTTCCAAGATATCGGCATCGTCTGTCAAAAAAACCCATATTGGTCGACCACTAGTCAATGCTTCCCTACAGACGTGCTGACGAGTAATCAAGTAAAGCAGAAGAAACGTGAGAAAGTTGCACTCACGAAGTTTGGAGACAGGTTGAGTCGGTAGAGCTGGTAGGTGGACTGGAGCAGGTTGGATACGAGGTTGGACACGAGCACCTCTTTACCCAGCTTGTCGGAGGGTCGTCTCTGGCTGCTGGCCACCTGCACACTCCACTTATCGGTGTCTGCGATAATGCAGACGGCCTCCGCGATGGGCTCATCCAGCACAGGATGCTGCATAACAACAATACAGCTCGTTTCAGATTACAATCAAGCTTTTCACATTTGTTCATTTAGGACTCTCAGTGACGCTCGGGTGCCGTGGAAGGGATGTATTGGACTCTTTTTCACATGAGAGAGTCCGATGACATTCTAGCCTCTAAATATGGCTCGGCTCCTTTAACAGTAGTGTTTGGAGATCGTATGCAAGGCTGTAACTAACAATTATATTGATAACTGATTAATCTATTGATTATTTATTCAATTAACCTATTTATTTGAATGGAAAAAATATTTACTAAAAAACTAATGAATGTTCATCTATTATTTACAAACTGTTGTTCCCCATCCTGCCCAATGCTGTCCCCCAAATAATGTGCAATTGTGAAAACAAATACAGTAAACTTATCTATGTAATAGGGTTAAAATATAAACATTACATTGTAAACCACAAACCAACTAATTGCATACCATGCATAAAGTACAATTAAATTAAAACAAAATCGAAAATCATAACAAAAGAAAAACAAAAGTATAGACTAACTGTCACGCAGATCAGTGTTATTTTAGTTTCATTCAGATACTTAGTTTTTATTAACATTTTGAATCAGTTTTAACTTTTATACTTTAAAGTTTAATTTTAATTTTAATTAAAGTTTTAGTAATTTTGTTCTATTTTATTTCAATTTTAGTTTTAGTTACTTAGTACACCAAGATAAACTAAAAAATGAGAAATGATGTATTGGCCACTAGCTGAAATAAAACATTTTGTACATTTTATTTTAATTTAAATTTTTTTAAGTAATTTTTTTAAATGGTTTTAATTTTAGTTTCAGTTTTTGTAAACTAAAATAACCCTGGCACAGATGTGATTAGTTGATAATCAAATTTCTTGCCAATAATTGTCTTTATAGATGCTTATCGATCAGTTGTTGCAGCCCTAATCTTATGTAACCATACCTATCAGCAACAGTGATTGGATTCTTCGCCAAGTGTCAGGCAGGTGCTCATTGATGACCTATTGGAGGTGGCGTTTACCTGCACAGCATGGGCCAGATCCGACACCAGGTTCTGCCTCAGTTTCTCATCATTGGGGGCTCCATGCAGAACAAAGTCTGGGACGTACGTAGGACAGTATCCTCCGAACAGCGACCTCCCAAAGTTGGCAATGCTCGGTTTAGAGTAGTTCTCCACCAGCTTCGCCCTAGCAAATAGATAACCTTGTTCATTATCAAAATTTTTAATATACAGACTAGGGCTGGGTAATGTGGCCAAAAAATCATATCTTTGTATTTTTTGGCTGAATTGCGAAATACGGTATATATCTCGGTAATTTCTACGTTTTTTTTATTTGGATTAAAAAAACAAATTGTATTTTTTATTTTTTTACATCCTGCCCAAAGTTGTCAAATGAAACAATGTTTATATTAAAGGCTATGAAAACAAACATACTAACATTACAATATAAAAACAAAAATCATGAAAATCATTTTAAAGCAGAAGGTAAATTCAGTAAACTAAAAATCAAAATAAATAAAAGCAACTAAAGCACAGACTAATTGCATTATATTTTGATTAACCCTTTACAACTGTCACTTTACAGATACTAATATCTTAAAATACACTTACTTGTAGGTTTAAAATTCTACATATGGCACATTAATTTTCCAACAACAAATATTTTAGCAAATGTATATTTTAGTCAGAATTATCGCTCCCCTATTCTATCGCGCTCGCTCACTGAAGTCTGTGAAGTTTAACAGAGACTCGCATGCAGAAGGCTCATCCACTCCTGACAGCAAAATGGAAATATTTCCATGACTTTCTAACATTTACAGATGGAGGATATACCTGTGAAAGTAAGTTATGCACTGAGGAAAACAGCACATCTCAAACACATTAAACAGCGCGAGTAGCCTGTCTGTCAGCAGCACATGAGTGGGTCAGAGCCGCTTTAAACTACACGTGTTAACTATATCTTACCAGTTATTTAAAACTCTTAATATAAAGCATGTCTCATGTTTAGGACACACTGGATTATGCACTTTACCCACAGCAGCTCACTCTGTGTCCTATGCTATTTTTCAGATACGCTTGTATCAAATTACTGTATATCGATATAACCGGTATTCCATATCGTTTACAAAAAAATATATCATATATCATACAAACTCGATATACCGCCCATCCCTAATACAGACACAAGCCAAACAAAACCGATGGTTCTGATAATCCTCTCCGCTCTTACCCAGGTAAAGGCACCTCGAGCTCATCCTGCCAGTCGGTCTGCTCGTCACCGTAAAACAGCCCATCGGGCTCTTGCCTGGGCAGCTCCTGTCCAGCGTCCTCGCTCTCGCTGTCCCCCAGCGCGCTGTCCGAGCTCTCGTTGCGTGGGATCTCCCAGTCGTTCAGCGGGACTTTCTTTTTCTCCCCAACGGTGCCTTGTGAAGGGACACTCAGCGACATCTCGATCCCCTTGTCCTGCTCGGCAGAGCAGCAGGTTTTACAGCAGCCCGCGCTGACGTCTCCTGCGTCGCACTTACACCCGTCTTTGTCCAGCCGCTTGCAGGTCTGTCTGTGCGCCCTAACTTGGCAGCCTTGCAGGTTTGGGGCATCTTTTCCTATGCCTTTCATCCCCGTTTGTGCATTTGTTTGGTAGACATCACCAATAGTCCTCGTCTCCACTGGATTGTCATCACTGAAATACTCGTCAAACATGTCCACGCAGTCCCCTTGCACTCTTGGACACCACTGAGACGTCTTGCTAGTGAAGGACGATACAAACGAGCCTGTTTTGCTGTCGTTGGTCTTGATTTGGTCCACTTGAAGTTTAGCCTCACCGTTACACTGCTTCTGCTGGTTGTCTTTGAGAAGCTTCTTGTGTTTCTTGATCTCCTCCTCCAGCTTTTGCTGTCGACTCTCCATGTCAGATTCAGGAGACATCGAGTCTCCGATGAGGAATGTGACTTTAGCGGAGGGTTCGTTCCCGGCGTTATCAAAGCTCTTGTCAGGGGGCTTCTTCTCTAGCAGGATATCTGATGGATGGAAGATCCTGATGGGCACGCCACCAGATTCCACCTCGGGCCGCACATCCCCTTGAACCTCGAGCGAGGCTCTTCTCTCGCACGGCGAGTTGGAGCCGACTTTGACCACGGTTTCCAGTCGAGTCTCGAGCTGTGGACTCCCCGCCTCTCTGCAAACGGGCACGTCTCTGACGAGGTCTGCCTCTGGTATGGTGGGATGCGGACGCTTGTGCTCGTCTGGGGCCTCTGTGTCCATGTACGTGCTGCTCTGTAAGCTGTTGTCATCAGAGGGGTAGCCGTCCTCTGCCTCGGCACCCGGAGACAGGTAGTCTTGGCTCGGCTTGTGCACGGTGACCAGCACGTAGTCGGACTCCTCCACCTCTCCGCGGCGCAGCAACGTAGTGATGAGCGAGCCGGGTATCACGATGGCCTCGTCCACGGCGCTCTCCAGCAGGTGCGTTTCCAGTAACTCTGAGCAGCGGATGAAGTAGGTCAGCACATAGAGAAGACGCTGCACCAGCTCCTGTCGTCTGCCAACCACCACCGTACGGGACAGACGCACAGGTGAGCCGATTGACCCGTACAGGTCACCTGCAGCAATCACAACATTATTAACCAAAACAATTCACACATATTTGCCAGGAAACAAATAAGCAGTTCTGGGTAGTAATTTAGTACTGCACTTCTGAAGCTACATAAGTACATACATGTTTCCCAGAAGACAAAATACGGAAAATTTACCCTGACCAGCCAATTCAAAAAGTTTACACCCTCCGGCTCATAATGCATCGTGTTGTCTTCTTGAGCATCAGTAAATGTTTTGACCTTTTGTAATTGTTATGTATGAGTCCCTCAGTTGTCCTCAGTTTGAAAAGATGGATCTCAAAATCATACGGTCACTGTTGGAAAGCGGTCAAATATGCGGAAGATGCTGGAAAACCAAAGAATGTGCAGGAGCTGGAGGATTTTTCTGAAGAACAGCAGGCGGTTGAACTGTTCAGGACAAACAAGGGACTCATGAACAACTATAACAAAACATAAAAACAGTCGTGGATATTCCAGGAAATGACGCACAGTATTAAGATTTAAGGGTATGTAAACATTTGAACGGGGTCATTTTTATAAATTCAGTTATTATTTTATCTTGTGGAGTATATATATAAACATCCGTTATGTGAAATAGCTTATTCAAGACAATACTAAATAAAAAATAACATGCAATTTTCATGATCCCTCTTATTTTGTTAAAATTATTAACATTTTGCATATTCTTCAAAGAGTATGTAAACTTATGAGCACAACCGTATATTTATAAAGAACAAAAGCATTCAAGCAGAGCAAATTGAAAAAATAAAGCAGTAAAATTATGCACTCCTCTAATTACATGTAATATGGATTACTTAATCAGATTCCAAAAACCGAATACTGTAATTACATTACATTTTAAAATGCTCAGATTACAGTTACTTTTTTTTATGGATTACATATTCATAAAATGGCAGTAAAATATTCAGAATTTACTGATTCTCTCTAATTTTTCTTTTTTCTCTTATAGAGTTCGAACTGCGGTTTTTATAGTTTGAGAAACCCCAGTGTAATGCAATGTTTTATGCGCTTCATGTTCATGTTGCCACAATCTAGATATTCAGTTTTAGAGGTCAACTCAAAGTCAAGGCGATTCAAATTCAAAATGACAAAGTATAAGACCAGCAGTAGGCTATTAATGTTTAAATGTTTTGTAAAATCAAAGAAAATACCAGCAGACTTCAACTTGTCACCATCATGCAAACATGAAATATCAAACATACAGTAGTAGTTCCTTAGTAGTAGTTTTTTTCTATGTAAACGTGCGCTTGACCTTTTCTAAAAACGTGGTGCTTTTTTCCATTTCACTGAATCTTCTCTTAACTGTTAACACTGGCGTATTGTCAACGTGTCTAATTGTAACTTTGTTGATATCATTAATTAAAACCACTATTGCATGGGTTAAAAAAATAAAACAGTTGCAAAACATGACATTTGAATTAGTTGATAAAAATGTTGCCCTATTTGCAGCAATGCAACAGTTGAAACATTTTTTGTTCCCCAAAGAATCTTTCAATGAACAGTTCTTAAAAGAACCATTTTTATTAATGTAAAGAACATTTTATTATTCTTAACCTTTCCTGCTTGAGAAATGTCTTCATGTTTTTTTTTTATGACCATACAGTGAAAGTCAATGGTCATCAACATTTCTCAAAATATCTTCTTTTAGGTTCCACAGAAGAAAGAACGGCATACATGTTTTGAATGACATGAGGTTGAGTAAATGATGACACGATTTTCATTTTTGGGTGAACTATTGCTTTAAAGGTTCTCCATGGAACCATATAGATGCCAATAAAGAAACTTTTTTTTTTTTAAAGTGTAGTGAGCATCAATGCTCCCTGGTTTTTGTGGTGCATTGTGGGATTTTTAGTTAGCAGATGTTCCAGGAATCCGCTAATCTGTTTCCAGATTAAGACGGAGCCCTGACTACTGAACTAAACTGTCCTGCCAAGTTTATTTCCAATCTGCTTCAACACACCTGCCTGTGATTTTCAAGCGATCCTGAGGACATTGATTAGCTGGTTCAAGTGTGTTTGATTCAGGTTAAAGCTAAACTCCACAGGACAGCAGCTCTTGTTCAAATGCAATGTTTCCCAACCCTGTTCCTGGAGGCACACCAACACTACACACTTCCTAATCAATCACACCCGTCTTATCCGCTCATTAGTAGAGACTCCATGTCCTGAAATGGATGGGTCAGATAAGGGCAATATCTAAAATGCGTAGTGTTGGGGTGCCTCCAGAAACAGCGTTGGGAAACCCTGCTCTAAAGCTCACTGTCCCAAGACACTTCCATCAACACTAGGTGGCGACATGCACACATTTTTGCACTCTTGCATGAGTCATTTACCAAGCTGTGCCCAGAGTGGGTTGTAGGGATGTGTTTTCGCCAGCATGTCCACACTCGGTGAGGAGTGCTTCTCCAGGAAGATCTTTAAGGGTGGTTGACCGTTGGGCATGACCGTGGGAACCCAAGCGAGATGGTTTGTGAGAACCGCAGTGAGAAGCGCTGGGAGGAATCTAAAGGCAAGAGACAAAGCAAGCAAAAACATGGTTACATTCACACTTATCAAGTGCGTTCAATGGCTTGAGGAGCATGTGCGACGTTACTCAACTGGTTCTTGGAGGCTTGCTCCATGAGCAGGGCCAGCTCCCTCATGAACTGGCCACAAAGCTGGTTCTTTTCAGGTGGACCGGACATCATGGTGAGCCAGACAGGCTCAGACACACGTGGCATGGTGTACAGGTTGCAGATGGTCGTCCTATAGGGCGTCCGCACACATAAAGACAGAAGAGCTTTTGTCAACAGCTGAAACAAAGAGCGCTTCAGTTGCACAGGGCTGCCCCAGCTGGGAAAGACCTTTGCAGCATATTTAACTTCTGCAAATGTCACGCAGCCCGGGAATATGGGCCACGGTCCAGAGCTTAACACCCAGATGCCACTTGAAATGATCAGGAAAGACTGCAGAGTCACGAGTATGACTGCTCCTGCAAAACGAGTGCATTTCTCTACTTTATTACACACAAAGCGAATCTCCGGATGCTAAGGAAGTCATCAGAGGAGCAGCTTTAACACTAACGGAGCACAGTAAGAAGATCTCCCACATGTTGTTTACCGTTACCATACTCGTGCTGATTAGGCACTGGGAAAGATGCAGATGTTAGCACAAACTCCCAAGTGTGTTGCAAACAACCTGACACTTAGAGAAAACGATAATGTACTCCCTTCCCAAGCCGTACTACACTTCCCAGTACTGAAGTTAGTGCGTAGTGACCTATAAAAAGCCTCATGCAACAGCAACTAACAGACAGGCAGAACTGTTTTAGCACTGGATTAGGTAAGAGTTATGAAGCTCTGAGGTCTTCTTTCATGAACCTAAACCTGAGGACTGACAAAGCATGATCAGGCCTGCGTGATTATTTAAGCAATACGGTATTAGAGGAATTCACAATATAACAACTTTAAGTGTTATAAAGCCTCACTCTATATTAAAAATATTAAAATGTTAATAAATGTCACTGGTACGCTTGAAGATTTGACAAGTTTAAAAAATAGTTAAGGATTCGTTTGTGTCACTATTCAAAAAGTTATGTATTGTTATACTGGTGCATCTACATTAAACGAATGTAAAAGAGCACTATATTAAATTTAGATTAAGTAATGCCTATTCTTACTGTATTTTACACCTAGATTAAATATGATCCCCCTGTCCTAACTAAAATGTGAACAGCTGATTGCTGATCGACTGATTTTCACAATAAGAACACCACACACTGATGTACAGCTTCATCTTTTCAGATCTCGGACTCCACAACAGTGGCGGAGCTAGAGTTTTATACATGGGGCGGCCAAGGCTAATTCAGGGGGTCCATAGACCATTAAAAAGCATGAATAAATCCTACGATTGCTGATTACTTCACATTACCCCACATTATCTTTCCTACCATAACTTCAAATGTTAGTCTATTGGACCTTATTTCTCTTATTTCTATTATCTGATTAACCAGCGGTTGGAGCAAAAGATCTAACATTAACATTAACTTCTAACATTAATACAGTGAATTTTGTAAATGTTGTTCAGGAAACCTAAAACTTTAACTTACTTCAAACAGGGCTGCCAACTTTTGAGTTCAGCCTGGGGTGAGAATTATTTAGGAATAATTAATGAGCTTGCGATTAAGTACATGTTATTTTTTTCTCAATTTTTCTAAACTAATCTATACAGGGTGCCCTATTGTTAAGGTTAAAAGTAACAATTGATTTGTATACAACTTCATATTAGACCATTTTTATAATAGCATCATGTAAGAGTAAAAATATAATAAATGTAATTTTTGCAAATTACATGTCCTCTTTAGTGCACATTTTTCTCAAGTTTATGGACACTGAATTTCTGAGGTTATGTGAAAGTGTTCAAGCTGCTGTCTTTCCGCGGTTAAAACACTCATTGAGTGATTACATGACACTGTACATTCAGTAAGTTGTAGTGTATCTTTCCACACGCCCTCAGATGTTCATTCATGTTTATTTCATGTTAATTAGAATGCACTCCTGCTTTGCTTGAACTGAGGCAAAGCAGGAGCACACGTGAACCGTCACACCACTAAAGAGCTCCAAAACTCTATATATCGTTTGAAATTCTTAATTAAACTAACAGAATTTGAATGCTGAGAGTTTGCTTCCTATTATCAAAAGTAACCTGCTCTGTCTTGTCTGTCAGCGGGTTGTCTGTGTCCTCCTTGCTCTGCGATGTTTTGCACTCCGTAAGAAAATGAACATGTGGCGTGAGAGTTAGCAGAGGCTGGAAGCTCCACCAGACAAGATGAATCGCGATGCGGCCCACCAGATGCATTGCATCCTTCAGTTTGAGGCTAAAATAAATGCTCCCTTCAGTACGATTAAACAAAGAAAATAAAATAGGAGCATATTAAATTTTGGGGTGGCACCCGGGGTGGCCAATCAGATGTCAGGGGTGTCCAGTGCCACCCTGTATACCCCCTCTGGCTCAGCCACTGCTTCACAACCGCGAGGATAAACGCCAAGGTGTATAATTAGCCCGCTGGAAGTGGGAAATCTGAAATATTTGTTTGTCTGTTCACTTGCACATTATTGACAATTCTGGTCCGTCCTGACAGTATGTGAGGTAGATAAGGTTTCTGTGGCACTGGGGTCAGGTTGCTCTGGCCGCGGACCAACAAGCATATGACTTGGAAGTATGAGAGGGTGTATAGTGAATCGCCTCTGAAGCACTGACACAGACCGAGCTTATTTTACACAGACCAAGACTGAAGCACAAGCTCGCACGGCCTTCTGCTCAGTTCCTATGCAAGACATTTTATGATCTGTTCGATTCGGTTATTAATTCTACTCCTTTTTATAAGCATTATTATTAAACACTAACAAATTAATGGTCAGTTCAAAACTTAAACTAAAAAGAATTAATTTAAAATGTAGATAAAACAACTAGATGCGCACATGGTATTTCCATTTCCATTTATTTATTAGTTGATGCTTTTATCCAAAGCAACCTACAAATGAGAAACTCCCACATATTGACGTTAACGGTTAATACATTAAATAATTGCTACAATGAAAGCGTTTAATTTCTGTAGTTTTTTAACCGTTCGCTCAAACTAAAAGATCAATATTCGGATGGCGCTGTAGGGATACAATGTTTTACTCTCAGAAGAATCAGCCTACAAATATAGTTGGCGTCAATATAGCCTTGTTCAGACTGTCAGCCGGAATCTGATTTTTGTGCATATCCGATTGGAATCCCATCATATTTAGCCAGTGTGACTGGCCAAAAAATAAAAATATAAAATTTCACATGAAATCCGATTTTTTGTTTTCAAATCCGTTTCAAGCTACATCCTTACATGGTTTGAAATCCTATTCAAATCGCATTTCTGGAAATCCGTTTCAGTCTGACCGCTCAGATTGAACTCCTAAAGTGAGTTGCATCAAACTTAAGGCCGTAAAAAGTTTTAAATACGTTAAATGGTATAAGAAATATAATTATAAATTCAAGAGGTCTTACAGTAGGGGACGGAAAGACAAGAGTCGCGATACGGCTGGATTAAACTTTAAAAGGCAATGATGTCATTGAATAAATATGAGCGCTGCACGTTTCAAGTCAAAACGCGGCGCGGATGTCTTTATTTGAATGTATCTGAAGGGAACCGACTGTCCTCAGAAACGTGTCGTTGGCATTTTAATTTCATCTTACCTATAATTCCTGATAAAGCAGCATTTATGAGCGCGGAGCTGCTTTGTGTACAGCCGTTACCGGGCAAACCGCAATATTTCAGCGCTCCTAAAGCGCCACCTCGTGGCAGAGAATGAATTTGCATTTCCAATAAGCCTTTCTTTGTGATTATGGTCAAATCAATGCAAATATCAACTCATGATTTTACGCAGCAAACACAGAGTTGTAAATGAGAAAAAAAGTTAATGTGCCTTCTAAAAATCTAAACAATTAAGCCCGTAATATTTATACGTTTTAAATTGATATAATTTATATGCTTGATGTAGCCCTTTTCATAAAAATGGTCTAAAGGCTGAAATGCTATTGACACACTATTTTCCTAATGCTGTTCAGTTGCTTTGACACAATCTGTATTGTTAAAAGCGCTATATAAATAAAGGTGACTTGACTTGACTTGACATGAGTGGATTAAGTGTCCAGTAAACCTTGGCAGGACTTTTGGTGGATGCAAATAACAAAACACCTGTCGAGCAGTGTCCAGACATGTCACCACAAACTCACCTAAACTCATTGAGGCCGTCCACCATGCGACTGTAAGCCAAAGCTCTCTGGCTGGCATCAGCTGATCTGCGGCTCAGTATCATAGCCTTCAAACAAACAGAGAGCCACAAACACACACCGTAAGACAGATGCAACAGATGGCGCAAGAAGATGGCAAACCACAAAGACGCAAATCATGTCTAACCTGCTCAATGGCACTTTTGAGTTTGTTCATGTGACTCTCAAACAGCGGAAAGTGAGAGAAGAAAAAGTCCTGGAACTTGGCGTTTTCTTCCTCGTTGGGCGAGAGCAGGAAGATGACACCGATAGCGATCTTCTTCTTCCTGGCAACGCCCAGACTCGGCCCGCTGTTCTCATCAGACATGTTGAAGCTCTCCTCCACAGACCTGGAATGCAAACACACCACTGGATTAGACAGGGAAATGTAAGCAGAGCCCAATGCTGGAGTGTTGCTGTGTAGTTGCAAGTGAAGAGTCCCACACTGAAGTTTAACAGCACTAATGAGTCCTCACTACTGCTTGCCATTTCTGAATTTCTCTCTCACGTTTGCATGCGTTATGATGAAAGTGAAACCTGCTGTAAGTAGAAGTGGGTGATATACTGTAACAACAGTAAAACAGTAGAAATGTGTCATGAAATTCTAGTCTCTATCGCGGTTACGCTCACTAGACATGAAAGCGTACATTTATAAGCCATACCAGTTTAAACATTCAAGCGATTTCAAACTATTTGAATGCAATGAGACATGAACGAGAGCTACTCTGTACTCTGTCTGAGATTGCACAGAAAGCAGCCGCTAACACAACATCTGAGTACTGAAATCTTTTTGAAATCTTAATTTTTTTTGCTGGTGATCACACTTAAATGGCAAAAAACACAAAAATTTCAGATTGCTCATCACAGTCAGTTATGTCAGTTAAGTGAATGTAAACAGGTCGGCGATCAGTTTGTGTCATTAATGGTAATCAAACAATGAAAGACAGAGAAAAATCACTCGCTGCTCTTGAGTGAATCTCTTGTAAAACTGTATATTTCATTTATACAGTGAGAACTATGCAGATTTTACAGTGAGAACAGATGCAGTTTTATTTTGACATTTTTTTCATTTCTATAATATTTCTTATTTCTGATAGACCTGAAAAACCTAAAGCATTTGTATCTTTGTCCTATTGTGTTTTTATTCATTTTATTTATATTCCTTTCACATTTCTTCCATCTTTATTTGACCCTCTAACTCTAGCACTCTCTATTCTAATTCTATTCTTTAAAAAAAAAAAAAATTGCCCTTTTAGACTTGCACTCTATTCATTTACTAACTGCTTGTTTTCTTTAAAAAAAACTTGCTCTATTATTTTTCTATTCTATCTGTTTTCTTTTTATTTATGAAATTTAAAAAAAAAACAACAACAAGAAAAAACCCTTGCTACGTGTACTGTGTTAAGCTAACTGAGACTTGTTTTAGCACTTGCATATCATTGCTCTCTTGCTGATTTTGATTGCTTCCATTGTCCTCATTTGTAAGTCGCTTTGGATAAAAGCGTCTGCTAAATGACTAAATGTAAATGTATATATATATCTATATATATTTTTTTTTTTTGCTGTGATATCAAAATTGGTGTCATGAATCATGAAATTCCAATTGTATTTTAATATTTTGCAGTGGTAACAACCTTATTTCAGGCAAATATAACTACTGTGACATATTATTGTTAATGTGAAGTCAAATTTGTCAAATGCAGCGTGTGCACCAGTGTGTTGCAATCGCACCATCGAGGGAAGACACCGTTCTCCAAGCTGGTGGTCTGGCTGCGTAACCAGCGCCGCTGGTAGCTACTTGCACAGCTGCTGGTGAGAGAGGAGCCCGGCGATGGAAACGGGGTGATCAACAGGCTGCTTAAAGACGCTGTCAACAGAAGAGAGGAGCAGTGAGTCAGTGTGTTCACATGTCCATCATGCAAGAGCAAAACACTCACACATGGCAAAAATAAAGTACTCTTGCATGACGTGCAAACAGAAGGATGTACTCGGTGCATCATTTCTGAGCCTCTGAACTCTTAAACGCTCTGTTTATTTATTTATTTTGCTACTGTAGCTTTAAAAAGAATAGTTCACCCAAAAATGGAAATTTGCTTCAGTTTGTTTCTTCATCAGATTTGGAGAAATGTAGCATTGCATCAATTGCTCACCAATGGATCCTCTGCAGTGAATGGGTACCGTCAGAATCAGAACACTTCCTCTGGTGAAAAAGTGCATCCCCTGTTGTCCTCACATCAAAATCCACCCATAAATTTATATAGAATTGTTTTGGACTATTTTGACTTGTAAGCGGTGCTTGATCTGTTCATATTTCTCTCCTGATTCAGACAAGATGACTTTTTCATTAGCGGAAACATTATTATGGATTATGGACTCGTATTTCAGCCAGAAAACAAGGGTTTAAAGTCAAAATGTCTTAATGGTTTGTTTCTTACAAACACGCAGCTTTTGGCTTCACAAGATGTTAACTGATGGACTGGAGTGGTGTGGATTATTGTGATGTTTTTATCAGCTGTTTGGACTCTCATTCTGATGGCACCCATTCACTGCAGAGGATCCATTGCTGAGCAACTGATGCAATGCTACATTTCTCCAAAACTGATGAAGAAACAAACTCATCTACATCTTGGATGGCCTGAGGGTGAGGACATTTCAGAAAGTTTTAATTTTTGGGTGAACTGTTGCTTTAAGAAACACCCCATCACATGTGAACTGAGCACTGATGAAGCACTGATAGCATTTAGGTTTTCAGGGTCACCCGAGAGGCCTCGAGAGAGTGATATTCAGAACGAGGTGACACGCTTAAAGAGCTCAATGGAGCTGAAACGTGTGTGTCGACCCTGAATTAGCCTCCTCATATAACTAGTGCAGGCAGGCAACTTTGGGAACCGCTAAATATAAACGTCTGTGCATGTGATGCTGCATTAGCCAGAACGAGAGATCCCAGTTATGCTGCCCAGGTCATCAGGCACTTTCCATTGCACAAGCTTTTCCAGATCTGCTGCATTTTCAGAAAGCTGCACATCTCAGTGGCACAGGGCAGATATTCCTGTGCTGTGAGCTTCAGGACGTCCTGACTTAAGTATCATTTATAATAAGGACATAACAGAAAGAATGACGGCTACATATGAAGTTGTTTGTAATCACAGAGTAATTTAAAGATATTTCTGGGGTGGATTTCTAAGTCAGGTGCCAATCCTTTCATAGTTTTAAACCTTTAATAGTGTTCAATAAGAAAACATCCTGACACCAAGATCATGAGCATACCATTCAGAAAAACCCTTCACATTAACACCAGATATTTCCACATCACTCACGACTGTGTAGGGCCTTATGATTTCTACGACGTGGAAAAAGCAGACTGATTCATAGAATCCAGTAATAAAAATGAAATCTACTGTATAATGTGGAATGTCAAATAATTTGGATGAGTAAATCAAAAGTAGGGCCGCACACTTAATCAATGCCGAAATTGTCTCATGTCTGTGAATATGAAAGCAATAGTTCACCCAAAAATTTTAATTTTGTTATTTACTCACCCTCATGTTGTTCCAAACCATGGTACTATTACATACTATGGAAGTCAATGGCTATCAGCAACTGTTTAGTTACCAACAGTCTTCAAAATATCTTCTTTCATATTCAACAGAAGAAAGAAACTCATACAGGTTTGGAATAACTTGAGGATGAATAAATTCATTTTTGGGTGAACTATCCAAAGCGCAGAAAGCCTGCTATGTAAATGTGAAGTCTGCATGTTGTGCGTGTCTCAGTTTGCTCTACTACACACATACTGAAGCTCACATGATGCTAGTCTCACTATATGAGGACATGAACTTCCTCTCTAGAGCTGCTCTGAGAGTCACTTCACCAGCTTTTCACCAATTCATTTGAGAAAAAATTGTCGTCAGAAACACACTTACTCACTTATTTTAAGGTCCAATTCTCACCATTAACATTAGCTATTAACTATGACTTTTGCCTCACTAAACTCCTAGGAGTCCTAATTTTATTTACAGTTAGTAAGGTGGTTGTTAAGTTTAGGAATGGGGTGGATTAAGGGATCTAAAATATGGTCATGCAGAATAAGACATTGATATGTGCTTTATAAGTACTAATAAACAGCCAATATGTTGGTAATATGCATGCTAATAAGCAACTAGTTAATAGTGAGAATTGGTCCCTAAACTAAAGTGTTACCAGGATCTTCACTAAAACCCGCCAAAATAAAAGTTGTTTAACTTAAAAAGAAATTATGACACACTATATATTTTACATGACAAAATATATTATTATTGTACAGTAAGATATACTTCTCGAAGTAAAACATTAAAACTATGTAATATCACACATTTCTTGGTCCGTTTTAATTTAAACAGTAAACCTCTGTTGTGCAGCACTGTTTGCAAAAAAAATGAATTGTTAAATTTACATTTGATTACATTTAAAAGATTAATAAAACTGTTCAAGTTTTATGCATTAAAATAATTACCACCGTTTTTGACAATAAAACTATTAAATCATAAAACACAAAATCCAGAAAAATTAAAAGATAAAACATTTCATAGTGCACTATTATTGTTAAAATTGTAATACATTGCTAAAGCTTTATGAATTCCATTATTAAAATTAAATTCAACTATTAAAATTGAATGCAAAAAAATAAAAATGGAGAAAACAGATTTCAAAGAGCCCTAAAAATATAAACATTTCTTATTTGTAGCCTAGAAATAAACCTATCGCGTGCAGTAATTGGGTGTTTGAATGTAAATGTGTCCCATATGGCATCTGCATGTGTAAACAGACTCACCGGAGCGGGCGATGCCGCTGTCTCTGTCATCATACAGTCCTCGGCCTGGCATGTCCATGGGGTTACTGTGTCCTGAGAGGACGCAGAGAAAGTCAAGCAGGGACGATTTTAAAAAGTTTGCTTATCTCTACCCACCACCCGTCCAGCCATCTTATCACCACTGTGATCTACCTCCACATCAGCACAGACACATGCACACACAGCAGGCAGGAGAGGGCAAACCGGTGCATTATGGGGGATGGGATAGAAAGAAACCCTGGGCTTGTCAAAGCTAGAGATCACACCAGAACAGATCGACCAGATACACGTCCTAAATGCAGTCACATAAAGCACAAGCAAACTCCTTAGATGCACATGCATAAAACACTAGTGCCACATGCACATACTCGTGCACACACACACGCCAACCTGAAAAGAAAGAGGCACTCTTGATGAGACGGAGAGGGCCTTGCTCTGAGAGCGCCCGGCGCGGGCTGCAGAGCTGAGAGAAACCTGTACGGTATCGCGATCAGGAGAGCAGGATGACAAATGAAGAGAAAGACACACATCCAACTGTTAGTTAAGTACAGGAAGAGACACAGAGATGCTCAAAAGTCTGGAATCATTCATATTTTTTTATGTTTTTTGAAGAAGACTCTTATGTTCACCAAGGCTGCATTTATTTTATCAAAAATACAGTAAAACCGAAATGCACATATTTTCAGCATCATTACTCCAGTCTTTGGTGTCACATGATCCTTCAGAATCATTCTAATATGCCGATTTGCTGCTCATAAAACATTTCTGATTATTATCAATGTTGAAAACAGTTGTGCTACTTCATATTTAAAAAGTCTAGGGCAAGCAGGATTTTTAAAAAATCATCAAGGATGCATTAAATTGATCAACATATATATATATATATATATATATATACTGTATATTATAACACACACACATATATAAATACATGCGTAGAAAATAGTTACTTAAAAAGAGTAATAATATTTCACAATATTACTGTTTTTGATCAAATGAATGCAGCCTTTGTGAGCAGAAGAGACTTCTTTCAAAAACATTTTATAAATCGTAAAAACTCCACACTTTTGAGCAGTAGTGTATCTTAAGCTGTCAGGATGACACAGACAGAGAGATGTATGGCAACACCACACAGAACAAACACACAGTGCGTGTGACTGAATCAATGAAGATTTAATATTCCGGCTCAATTCAATAATCTGTGCAGTCAATTTTGTGGGTGCTGCACACAAACCCAGATATACATGATAGTTAGGTAACACTCACAAAAACATGTGCGGGTCATAGTTCAGCTTAAAACCAAAAATTCCATTTTGCACAAAAAGAAATCAAGCCTATATTTAAGACCATTAGGATTTCTTGTATTGAACTATGACAATTAATCACTTTCTTTCTCATTACTGTAATGTTTCAAGACATTTGGCTGTATAATGAATGACAGCGCCTTAAGCTAACCAGAGGATACAAGTGCTATATTTTGTCTTTTTCTTTAACCCTCTGATGCATGATGTCTACTACAATGGGCAGGTCTTCAAAAGTTTGTGATATTACATCCTTACTCATAATTCTATACCAATGTCCTGTTTTGCTGTATTTATTCATGACAACATAAAATCAAAATGAGTGACGAAAGTGGTGAGGCATCAAGTAGCACTGAAATATTTACTACTACTTGCTTTTGCATTAGCTCTCTAAAGCTACATCATTTTGGTGTAATATAGGAGAAAACAGCTTAATTTCATATTTAAAAAAAATAAATATTCTTCTATGTATTTATTCATAAACAATAAGCTATTTTTCCTATAACATCAAAATACATGATTTTAGGGAGAGAAAACTTCACATTTATATTTTAATTAATTACTTAAAGCATTTTATAATACAACTTATTTATTAAAAATAAATCTAAATAAATAAACATATACTGTACTTATTTATTTAAAACATTAAGCAAATATCTCCTTTCCTTTTCCTTTACAGATTAAAAAAAGCAGCAGATAAAAATGCTTTGCAATGTCTCACTTCATTCCTAGAGGATGTGACAATCCTAGTTTCTTTATACACCGTAAACTAACAAAATATAAAGGAAGAAATATGACCTGGACATGTTCTTAATGAGCCCTTAAAACAAACACAGAATTACAATGTTTAAAACAGCACTGTGACGATTTCATGGAAAACTTGCGCACAATAGAGGAGCACAGACACGGAAGAAAACTTCCGGATCATTAAACATAAAACAGTGTTACAAATGGTTTTGGCAGCTGAAGCTGCAAACGTCGTCCAAGGATCGATTTGGTAACAGAAACTGTATTGAAAGTGTATGTGGAGTAAGTTCAGGCTGAGGTACGGAGGATCTTGCGTTACCTATGCTGCCCAGGAAGCCATTGGCGGCAGTGTTCTGCTCGGGCCGCAGCGCGCCGGAGTCCTGACTGATGAACTCTAAACTGTCCTGCAGTCTGTCAAGTAATCAAAAGGAGCAGTGAGGCAATGGAGCACAGTGAATGTACCGCTGAACGTGTGTGTGTGTGTGTGTGTGTGTGTG